GGAGGGGAGGCGGGGGGCGATTCCTGTGGGGAGACCTGGGAGCTGAGGGAGGGAGGCTGAAGAGTTTAAAGGGGAGCTCTACACACACTCTGCTACCAGGTGCTCTCGGTAAACTTGGTTGGCTTCTTCGATTTCTCAGCAGCGGTTGCTCGGGTTCAACAGGTAGGGGTTAAGATAATCTCCAGACAGATTCTTTCAGAGCAACAGAACCGATCACCTCTCTCTTTCCAGAAGTCAATGGTTCTCTTCCCCATCTAGGCTGTATGCACTGCCGAAAGGTGTGTGCTTTGAAAATGAGATAACTGTATGAGGTAGTTGCATAAAATCCCTGCGGAAGCAAGTGCTCCAGTTCTTAACCATGGATCAACTGGATGAGGTCACCGCTGTGTACCTTGGGTGCGCTGAGCTTGGCGTGACTAACCTGATGCTACCGCCACACTCCTGGTTTTGGTAGGACTCGACAAAACACTAGCAAATACACGCTGAAAGCGCACTTAGGTTTCTCTTTGTTAATCTTTGAAAACAACCTGAGACTGAAGACCTATTCTGCTGTAACTGCAGGATTAGCTTGGAGATCACAACTAGCAACAACTGATTTGCTGGCAGGAGCAGGCACTCAGCTTTTCTGGAAGTATTTGCTGCGTGAGCAGCTGGTGCCCCAATCAACAGGCGAAATCATTTAGTAGTCTAATTACACTTAGTCCTTAAAAAAACAAACAAAACCCACAAAAACCCATTAAGTTTTTTTCATATTAAGCTGTAGATGTATCTGAGGGGTTAACACCTTTTACACGTTTATGCTGTTTGCCTGATGTAATGACCCGCTATTACATGACTGCTTTGTAGCGATCACTATAAATTTATTGATGATGCTTTCTGGGATGCACTGAATTTTTACTGTAAGTTTTAAGAGTTTATTAATAAAAAGTAATAATAGGCATAACTTCCTTCTAAAGGAAAGTCATAATTTGTATTAACTCACCTGGAGGGGAACCACTTATTTATATCGCATTGAAAGGGAGGAGAGTAATGTATTGTTTACTGGAGGGAGGCATTGAAATTGTATGAATAGGTGTCACTGTTGGTGTGTGAAACCTCTTTAGGTAAAGGAGAATTTGAAATATCTTTGTGATAATTCGAGAACTTAACATGATGTGCAGAGCTTGACATGCAGAGCTTAACGTGCAGAGTGACAGCATTTTATTGGCTGAACTTTGTGATTAGTGGAGAAAGTATGAATTCTGTTCCTGATTCTGTCATGGATTCCTGTAAGCGTGTAGGCATTGACGTCTTCATTTATTCTGAGTTCATAAGGACAGTGGTCCTGATGAAGTGGTAGAGTGGTAGCCAGGATACTTGAGTTTTCTTGACCCTTCTAGGAGAGAGGTATGAAGCCTGGCTGATGTAGCCACAGAACAGTGGGGGTGGTTTGGGTGTTTTGTTGTTTGTGGCTTTTTTGGTGGGGTTTGTGTTTGGGTTTTTGTTTGTTTATCGTAGATGCAGTTATACTGGCAAAACTGCACTCTTTTGGCAATAGTTTGTTGTCAGTGGAGGGTGTGATGGTTTCTGTTGCAGCAATACAAACTGCAGCATTGCCATTTGCATGTGCATTAGGGGTGCCTTAAAGGGGTTCTAGCGTTTGAATTTCCTCAGTTCCATGGTGTAAATCAGCGCTGTGGCTAGCCAAATACTTTATGTGTAAGTACAGCCAAAGTTCTTATTTCTCTTTCATGCTCTCTATCAGATCTGATGCCTTCATTTATCCGTCACGGTCCAACTATTCCAAGACGAACTGATATCTGTCCTCCTGACTCAACTTCTTCTGCATATGCTTCTGGCGGAGATGGAATTGTTTCCAGAAACCAGAGTTTCCTTCGAACTCCAGTGCAGAGGCCACCTCATGAAATAATGAGACGTGAAAGCAACAGACTGTCTGCACCTTCCTATCTTGCAAGGAGTTTAGCTGATGTCCCTAGAGAATATGGCTCTTCCTCCCAGTCCTTTTTAACAGAAGCTAATTCTGTTTTGGAAAATGGAGATGCTGGTGCCCGTTGTTATTATTACGATCATTTTTATGATGCCCAGAGGAGACGTCAGTTAAATGATCGCGTACATGAGGACTACAGGTATTATGAACACAACAGCGATCTTTTCCAGAGGATGTCACAGAATCATGGGAGGCACACGTCAGGTAAGTATTAATTGTTGCTTTTTAAAAAATACGGTTTTGATAAGACTTTAGAGGTATATCAGGATGATTGGGTTCGTGCTTTTAGGAGCTGTGCTATGTAGGAGAAAGCTGCTTTTCAATAACTTTCCTGTGATCTGAGTACACTGTCTGTTCACGTTTCTTGGAGTTAAGAATTTGATGGCATATTTGCAGAAAGGAAAAATATACTTAAACCAGGATTTATTTATTAAGTAAATGGGGTAAGGTCAAGCAAATTTGGTTTTTTTAATGCCAAGCATATATGCAACTTCTCTACACAAAGTTGAATCAGTTGCTAGCTGGCAAGGAGTTTTATTCATTAGGGGACATCTTCTATTTTCATGATTTAGAGAATAACCAACAGCTCTAAATTATAACATGGCTGTTTTGTTTTATTATTATAACACAATGATAGTTAAAATACTATAATTATTTAATTTTATAGTGTTAATTTGACCTCAATAATTAAAATAATTTCTTATAAATAGTCAAAGGGAGGAATGACTGCTTTGTGTAATTAGCAGATTGGCATATACTGTGTGCTGAAACTGTCTTCCTAGTCCTTGACTCTTGTTTTTTCTTTTAGCTTGAAATGTGGTTTGTAAATAAGGCTGTCTACCCCCTCAATTTCACTGGACTTTGTCTTTGTCTTCTAAAGGAAGAACAGCATAAGAAAGAAGAATCCATTAAATACTACTTTTGGGAAATATTTGATTCTATCTGTGATGACACTGAAGAATAATTCTTCGGTGCAGTGTGCTATTGTGAATCTACTGGTGGAATAAAAAGTCTGGGATTACAAAGAATAGGCCATAGAAAAGTGACCTCAAAAGTAGTACATTTGGCTGTATTTGAGCACTGTATATACTAGGAAAACTATGTTCAAGGAGGAGTTTGAAACAATCATTTAAAACCCGTAAATAGCGTACCTTCCATATGAAATATGTTGTCAGTTTGTCATTACTTGTAATCTGTACACAAAATAGTAAATAGTTTCTAGTAAAATAAATCTCCTGTCTAGAAAAATAAATTTGCTAGGAATAATGTCAACATTTAAGGCTGCTGACCTTGTGTATGGAATTATAACCTGACAATGCTTTGTGGTTTGTTTTTTTTACTACAGAAACATTTCAATGAAAAGTGACAGAAGAGCAATGCTAGTGTTACTGCTGTCAGCCAGTAAATTCTGAAATACTAAGGTTTAAGACTTGATACTTTAATCCTCATTTATTTTGCTAAACGCTAATACATCTGATCTACCTAGATTTTGCATGAAAGCCCTCCATCTCTATGAGCTGTTGTTCAGCCGGCAGTCATTAAACGTTGACCAAGTCCAAATAACGAGCACCTCTTAGCCCTTGCTGGGATATTGTAGGGAGGAGAGGAGGATTTCATAAACCGATCCGTCAATTCCACATTCAAAATAACTACAGTAACTGTGTATGCTGGGGAAGACTTAAAAAAATGGTACTGCTGCTGTGTAGAAATGCAACAATGTTAAATGGAAATGGAGCTCTAGCTATTGGTTTGAAAGTGGAGTTTAATCTAGCAAATTTTTAAAACTGGCTAAAAGCAGAGGTTTGTAGCTGTATTTTTCTCAACTGCAGCAACATGGATTTCTTTTTAGAAAGACTTCCCCCCCCGCCCCACATTTGTCTACATGCCCCCTTAGCCACTGGAAATCATAAAGGAGCTGCTGGTGTTTGTTTGGTCTTTGTCATTCACTCATATTTTTACATTTAATAGTCAACAAATTCTACACGTATTTTGTAATGGGTGAGCAATCTCATGCATTTGCAGGGAGAGACAAAAAAGGTGAGCCTTTTGTCTACCAGAGTGTTTCCCTTTTCCTCTATTTTTTTTTTCTTCCATGTCAGCATGAAACATGAACTCTTAAATTCCTCTTTCAGTGTCACTGCAGTAAGAATGTTGACCTATGTCCTTAACTTTTGTACACCGTTTCAAGAATTGCTGTTACTTCTTCGTAGTTAAAGAATTATGTGCCCAAAAATAAGAAAACTTTACATTTTCTTACTTTTTTCATCTCACCATTAAGCTTCTTTTTATTTGAACCATCCATTGTCTTCAAACCTTCAGCATTTTCCTTGAGCTACACTAATCTTTCTGTAACTTCTCGTTCCTTTTTTCCTGCATTTCCAGAATACTGAGGCAGACCTTTTACTTTCATTGTCTTTGTCTAAATTACTTTTTCCTTACACATCTCCATTGTTTCTAAATGTTTCACATAATTAGAATTCCTCATCAAGATAACTGATGACAAAGTTGCCCAATACCTACAGTTTCACAGTGTAAGTCTGTTTATTAGCTAGAGTGTGTAAGTGCTGCCTTCTACCCTTCCCCTCCTCTCCCACCCTCCCCCAGAAGGTCCCTTCAGTCAGTTCTGTTATGGTTTGGGTTGATCGCTACAGAAGTGTTGCCTGATGGACACAAGGTATGCTTGCTGGTGGTGAGTGGTATTTTATTTAGTGTTGGTTACGACTGAGATGAGTTTTGAGAAGCAGTGCTCTGGAAGTGAAGAGATGCGTGTGGATTTCAGCTTTCATTCAAAATAAAGGTTCTCCTCTTTATAATTTGGAGATAAGTTGAAAACATGTTCTTACTGAGATTTTTGTACTCAAAGTATTCAGCAAAGTATTTAAGAAAGTCCCATGATTTTTCAGCAATTGATGTTGACAGCATTGATGTGTCCTTTGTCCTTTCATAGGCGTTTCTCCTCGAAGTCATGTTTTCTCTCTTGGTATGATTCAGTTTTATCATGTCCTCTTTTTCTTGTTTTCATTAGATTTGTTTTTAATTAGCAATGTAGTGCTGCTGGTTTTCCTGAAAAATGTCTTCAGTTGAGATGTTTCCTATTTTTTTTTTATATGTTTAGCTACCTCTGTGGCATTTCTTGAAATCTTTTTTTTTTTTTTTTTTTTTTCTAGTGTCCATTTCAAACTTAATTCTAAAGAGACTTTACCTGTCTTTCCTCGACATCTCTTTCCTCTCTTCTAGGTAAAGGTTTGGGGAGGTCTGTGGTTGAAGTTATATCTACAGTATAGATTGGAACTAACTTGTAACCAAGACCTCAGAGTTATTTGTACCTGTTTGAGCGGTAAGCTAAAAAATTCTTCTGTGTATATGAAAATTGCTGAGATTAAAATCACAGTGTAAAGGGACTTTCTGATGGTGGATTGTAAGCAGTTGACTGTGATGTCAGAGGAGAAAACCGATTAATCCTGTGAACAGAGAACCCCGTGCGCTTTAGTGAAAGTAGGTTCATCTCGTGTTAAATTGTACCCCTTAAAATTGCAAACTGGTATTCATGTTTAATATTAGAGCACAATAAAGAAATGCGAAGTATTAAATGAAACCTGTTTAGAGCTAAAGTAGCAGGGCTTTTCTTTTTAGGTGTGTACACTTCACTCATTTTTAAACAAATGGCAATTCCTGCCCTTCGTTTTATTCTTTTGTGCTGATTTTGCAGTAGTTTCTTTGTAGCTTACTTTTGGAAGCTTTCAGAGTGCTTCCTGTCATTTCCTATTTGTGAATTTATGCTTCCTTGGAGCGCCCCGTTCCCTCTGACAAACGAGGTACTTGTGCTCCAGAAGTGCCTTCAGATGCTTTGGAATGGGTTAGGAAGGCCTAGAACCTGCAGATCTATCTAAGCAGGATAGTTTTTGGAAGTTCTTTTTGTTATTTTGTTATTACTTACTCCCTTAAAATGAAACAGTCCATTCTTCTTCTCTTCCTGTTCTTCAGCCTGGTTTGATGAGGGGAAGGGAGAGGATTTTGGCATCCTGGAAAAAGGCTCTCAAGATAATTGACCTAATTAAAGACAAATATGAAGGCCTTGGTTTTTGCTAGATTTGTTCTTCAAGACTTTGAAATTTGGTTGAAGCTAGTTGTGGGGAGTTTGTAGGCTCTGAAACTACTCTGCCTAGATCAGCGCTGTACCTAATAAACAAAGTCAAACTTTCTCTTCAGTGATTTTGCTCTTTTCCCTTTACGCAGGTCTGCTCTGGTGATAGGATTTGTCTCCTGTGCTTTCTAGCAGGCAGACTGAAACATTGCCCTTTGCTGACCTGGAAACCTTTCCTCTTAAGAACTTGGACTTCTTTCCAGGCAGAGTGCCTTTACAATAAAAGCCCTTCATTGGGCTGTGAAAGCATTAATTCATATCACTTACCATTTTCTTTGTTCCATGCTAATGGAACAAACCAAACAGAACTTCCTTGATTGAGGAAGATACTACATATTTTTCACATTTGTGACGTTATTAGCCTAAGATAAATTTTTAAGAGGAGAATATCGAATGAAGGAACTCTTTGCACTCATATCTTACAATGCACTGGAATGTGGTGCTCAAAGTTTTAAAGTTTGGGTTCTGTTATTAGGACACCTTATTGTTGAAGATGTTGAGAATAAAACTGAATATAGGGCCAGACCTTACTTAAAACTCTTGAGTATTTTAAATCTTGTTCATACTGGTAATAAGTGGTTGCTGTTCCTTTGCACTTTCTTTTTTCAAAGTGTTGAGAACATACACGGTGATACTCCTCTAAGCAAGCAAATTGTATTGAACAGGATTTTCTTTGGCTTTGGAACAGCATATAATGCCTCTGGGCCAGGTTGACAGTTAATTCAAGACCTTAAACTGAAGATACTATATTTTGCAAGAGAAGGAAAAGGCAAAGCCACACATAATGTTCAATATTGATGTTCCTTAAAAGCGACAGCTGAACCAAAAAAATACCCCAAATATATACTGTTATGAAACAGAATTAACAAACGAGGCTAGACAAGTTCTAAAGAGGCAACCTGAAAAGGACTTAGAACTGCATAAATTTAAATTCATTGCTGACCATTCTTGAGATTTGATAGTGCCACTCAGGGCACATCCTTAAGAATAGTGCTCATCCTTAAGCAGAGGAAAGGAGACTTTTAACATTTGGAAAAAGGAGGTAATTTAAACAACTATGTTCCTTGGGGAAGGAGGAAGAATGAGAATTTCTCTCTTGTCATAGATAAAACAGTATGTGAGCAAGGTAAACCCTGAGCAGTTACAGTGAACTGGTTGGGCTAGCCTGGTTTTGCTTATCCTACGGTAGAGATCATATCCTCCATCAATAGGAAAATCACAGGTTTTACGCTAGATGTTTTGATTAAAATGGTTCAAGTTGTAAGTCTGGGGGTTTTTTTCTGTAGATAGTTTGCATTGTGCTACATAAATCTGATACCAGCCCATGATTCAGGGAATACCCTTGGTGTGCACAGTAAAATCCTGTGTGAATCTTTGGGCTGCTATGAAAATGCTTTAGGGCTAAGACCTTGCCTGAAATTTAAATGCAGAAGGGCATGATACTTTGGCAATATAACACGAAAACGGTAGTGTTTATAGCAGATGATTTTAGGCTGTCTTGTAATTTTCTTCTTTGCTTGGTACTTTGGAAAAAATCACATATGAATTTACTCTTCCAAGCATTGTTCAGTCTTGTTATTGATACTTATAGGTGTGTATATAAGAAAGTCATCTTCATCTTCTCTTATTGTTCAGAATCATAGCAGGAGCTATTTCTCTTATGTGTGTATCCACTCTCCCTTGAAGGAAGCATCTGCAGAGTTTTATAAGGAAAACTCATATACAGTTTCTTCTGATCTCTAGTAACTCGGTTATATAGACAAATGTCTAACTTGTACTAATTGCTGATTTGAATAGTGGGTTGATGGTTGTAAGACGCTATGAATATTACCTGATGTCTTAAAGCTTCCAGCACACAGGGTATTTTGATATGATCTGTAATTTTTAAGGGGAAAAATGCACATTAAGACTATACATGATAGTCTACAACCTCAAGTATTTGCAACTGTAAGTTTATAAATCTGGCCTTTGATTTCATAATTAGAGCTTGCTAATTGTGGAGGCTTGGAACACTGTTCAAAACTGATAACTGATACAGCTACATCAGTTTATCTTAATGGTATGGCTCTGCTTCTTCATGTATGAAGTCAAAATGGCAAAAGGAATGTATAATGTATTTGTAGTCTGGTATTGGTTTTGTTCTTTGCATCTTGGAAATTAAAAAAAAAATAAGCTGGAATTGAGAGAAACCATGTAGCTAGAATGAAATGATTGTGCAAACACAGAGCTGCCACTGTTGCCTTTCCTTTGGGTGCAGCGTTGCTTTTTAGCCTGCTTTCTAGGTGATTTCTCTATGTAATCTAGATTTTGGTTTTCCTGGCTCTCCGAGTCCATCTCCCAGTCTTCTCAAGCTTTTGTATGAAGAGATACAGGTATTGTGTCAAGAGGAACTTCTGGTGCAGAGGATGGCTTGTGCAGCTTTTAATACCAGCTTCCAAACGTTAGAAAGCATTAACCTTTACCCCAAGACATAAAGATATATGTATTTGCTACTGGAATCATGCTAGAATTTAAGTAGGAGGAACTGTAACAAAAATACAGACGTGCTGGTTTTAACAGTAAACAGAAAAATACGTTTAGGCCTTTATGAAAGTTCTTTCCCCCAGTCAAGTTTGTGTGTTCACATCTTCTGGTAGTGGTGATTTAATAGTCGCTGTTTATACGTACATGAAATTACAACACAGTGGTCCAGTTAATTGGAGAAAATACTGAATTTGTTGATCCGAAGTGCAGTATTTTCAGGAAGCTTAGACGTTTGTATTTCGTCATTGGAATGAAAACAAAATCAGTGACATAACTGTAGCTGGGGTCTGAAATAGATTCCCTGCCCCAGTACTGCTAAAGGTCAGGAAGCCTCCAGGATGTTTCTTCTCGCTGGAAGTAAAGGTCTAGGCTGCTTAGTCTTAATGAGAGATGGGAGCTATCACATGAACACAGCCATCAGCTTTCCGTTATAAAGCTGACAAATAGGTAAATGCTATAACAAGAGGAAATACTTGTAAGGCCAAATAGTTCAGAAAGTCACAAGGCTAGAAAAAGGTTTGTAGATGAGCACAAGTCTTTTAAAGAACAGTCAGGAGGAAGATTGTGAGGGTTTTTTAACTTATATTTTATTTAATTGGTTGCTCTGGAGCCTTCCCATTACTTTATTGTTGATGACTGCTACCTTGTGTTAGAATGACAGCCCATCCAGTTTTCGGTCTGTGTCATTTTATATATAAACTGATGCTTAAAATAGATGACATCCCTTGGGTAGCATGCTGTATCGTGTATGTATTGTTGAAAAGGACTATTACCTTTGTCAGTGAACAAGAGTATGAAGTTGCCTGAGAAATACAACAATTTTGCTGCTACTTCAGCATTACTGTTGTCTTTTTGAGTTAATGCCTGCACCTGAAACCTCTTTTTAATAGTATTCTTTAGATTAGATAGACTCTGCCTTTCCTTTCCACTCTCTCAAAAAATAATCAGACAAAAATGTTATTTCTGAAAAGCAGAAGGAAAGGGGTATATTCCTCAGGCAGTAAACGGGGGGCTTGTGATGGAGTCGCTTTCTGACTTGTAAGAAAGTGGAAGAAGTAGCTCCCGTACCCCTTCTTCTGGCTGTGGGAAACAGTAACACACAAACTCAGATGCAGACTGTCACTGAATAGATGCATTTGATTGTGGGAAGAAAAGATAATTGGAATTTGTTTACAGCCAGAGACTGTTTAACTGTAGAACTATGAGTAAGTGAAGGTGGTAACTGCTTTAAAGGATTTTTTAAAAAGAGAGTTGGATTTGGGCCAGCGTGTTCAGTAGGTAGTGGACTTCCAAGGAATGGAAAGAGACTTGCAAAATTCTTGATTATGTCACTTGGTTTTTGTGGTTGGGGTTTTTAGGGCTTTTTTTTGTTTGTTTTCTGTAATTATTATTATGACTTTTACTTCAACTAGCTTCCTAAGTATCCATAGTATATAGAGGGAAGGAAAAGATGAAATTAGAATTGTTTCTTCAGTACATCTCTCAGCATCCAGCATGCTAATTTTTAAAATGTAATAACTGTGTGCATGTTACAACAAATCACGTCTTTTAAAATGCCAGTGAACAGTCTCTCAAATCAGCTGTTTAGTGAGAAATCCTAAACGTGCTGAGTTTGTAGGGCAGAGGTGGGAACTTAACTACTGATTCCTGTCAGGTCTCCTACTGCAAACACACCTAACGTAGGCTTTAGTTCTCTTGCTGGAGAAGCCCTTCTCCTAGTGCAGCCCGCATCACCAAGAAAAACTGGAAATTACTCTTTTTTTCACATACCTCTTCAGCATTAGGAAGTGTAGGTACTCTGTTTTAGAGAAGAGCAAGTTGTAGAGAAGCAGACATACAGCCAGGATCTGTGGGAGGTAGAAAAGAGTTGGAAGGGGATGCAGGGAAGAGATGAGGAGATTTTGTGACTCGCTCTGAACAAAAGGTCTCTAAATCTTGTCTGGATTGCATTCAGAAGACCTGACTCCCACCCAACAGTGCACATCACCTAGCTATTATAACAAGCGTGGGTAGTTTTAACAAAGACGACATGGCAGCATCGGCTTCAGCGTGAGCAGGATGACTGCGTTCCGCAAAGGGCTTGTGCGGGATCCTGTGTGGATCCAGCTTTTCTGTTTTCTCTCGTTACCGATGACACTTTGGGGCCGTGATTGCACGCACTTCAGTAATAACGGTGCAGGATAGTGCTAACCTTACTTGTCCCTCCTCTCTTGGTTTACCTGGTCCTGTTACTGTTCTTGACTGGTTAGTCTGAAAAGCTGTGATGGTATTCAGTGATTTTTCTAGGTAGTTGTAATTTCTGACTGTAACTAGAAAAAGAAGTACCTGTGGGGTTTTTGTAGATAAATAGTTTTGATGCAGCCGTAATAGCGTATTAATGGAAACTGTCACTTACGTAAACCTTTAACATTTGTAATCTTTTGTCAGCTCTCTGCTCAGCAAATTGAGACAATAATAACAGCTTCATCCCTGTTAAGTGTGCTGATACACGTCTCTAATTGAAAAAGCAAGGATGCTTTAACTGTCTCTGAATGAAGCTGTCTAGTGAATCTGGGGTTGGAGGGGAGCGAAACAAATGAGACTTAAAAGGGAACAGCTATTTTGACTTGATCGTGCTTTTTTCACAAATGTGCAAGTGCATACGCCATAAATGCCATGTTATTGTTCAAAGAGTGCCTCGTGATGGTGGGGGGAAGTTGACTTTGTACATAATGCTGGGTTTGGGTATTATCACTTTAGCTAAACGTTGCTTTCCCTTTTTTTAGGCATTGGTAGAGTTGCTGCTACATCTCTAGGAAACTTAACAAATCATAGTTCTGAAGATTTACCTCTTCCTCCTGGCTGGTCAGTGGACTGGACTATTAGAGGAAGGAAATACTATATAGATCATAACACTAATACAACGCACTGGAGCCATCCACTTGAGCGTGAGGGACTGCCTCCAGGATGGGAGAGAGTTGAGTCACCAGAATTTGGAGTGTATTATGTAGATCACATCAATAAAAGAGCTCAATATAAACATCCTTGTGCTCCAAGGTAAGACATCCACCTTCTCTTCTGTGCTTGTTTTTTTCTTAATCCAGTTAAGAAAGTGGAACTGTTTTTGTCTCATACATTACGTGCCAAAAACTTCTTATTTTTAGAAGTAAGCTTTACTGGTTCTTGACTAAGATTTTCAGAAGAAGTTGTAATCATTAGGTTTTTGTCTCATCTGTTACTGTCTGAAGTTAGAAACAGGATATTGTTTCCAACTCACTAAAACAAAGCAGCTATTCTCTTCAACCGTCAGTAAAAAACCAAAGTTGCTGAGAACAGAATTATAATTGTAGACTGAACAGAAACCTGATCTGATGTTCCAGGAGACTGAACAAATAGCACGTACCATCTGAAACATGAATTAAGTCTTGTCTGGAATGAAAATCGGTATTTTAACTACTCATAATTTAAAGGTAAAATAATGTTAGTATACACCAAATCTAACAGTTCATTTCTGCTGCTCAATCTATTTTGCTGTTAGCCAGGACGAGAAGGTTTTTTAACATGTGGCACAAAAGATAAGCATATGAAGATGTCCTTTGTTATAAATGGAAAAACTCTTATCAGCTGCTGCCCGAATACATATTTTCTAACATATTAAATGGTGAATTGTTTGGTTGAATCAATACTTGCCTTTTTAATGTTTTAAAAACAGATATCATTTTTTTGTTCTGCTTTAGTATCCAAGTAGCAGGCACTATGTCAATAGGTCTGAGGTGAATTTTACAGAGTGCTAACAGGTAGCAGCAACACTTACAGTTGTGACTGGAGCGAAGCACAAAAATAGCAACAGAGAGTTGCTCTCCGTATAGGCCTGCTGAGGCAACACTCCATATGCAGTTGCATCATCAGCCTTTGCATGTATTAATCTGGGTATTAATGTTAACAATTTAATGATATTACTATGTCTAAGTTATTACTTGAAGGTTACGGAGTTTGTCTGTCTTCCTTTGTACAGCGTTCCCCGTTACGACCAGCCTCCCCCAGTGACTTACCAGCCACAGCAAGCCGAGAGAAGCCAGCCTCTCCTTGTCCCTGCCAACCCCTACCACACTGCAGAGATTCCAGACTGGCTGCAGGTCTATGCCAGGGCTCCTGTAAAGTGAGCTTTTTCCTTTTTTTGCCTCTACATTTCATACTATGCACGCTTAGCTTAGAAGGAAAACAAATGAATTTCCGTGCCTGAAAGTAGAACTCTAGCTGGTATCTGTTTCTTAATTACAGAAGAACCATTGCTGACAGCACATGAGGAAGTTGTACCCAGATGTTCAGCACATTAATTTGCTTTGTATTAGGCACTACTTCAGATCATCACACTACTTCTTGCAGTTCCCATGACTTGTAGAATGATATATTAGAGAGTTGAGGATGTGATTTACTTTCAGTGTATTTGTGAGAACGGTACCACGTGCTTATAAAATACGTGAAATATTTCTAGGGTGTTAACTTCTTAATGTGTATCTTGCTCCTTTTAAAAAAAGACATACAAATTTTCCTTCACAATTAAGAATTTTGAACACAGACTGAAATCTATAGTTCTATTCAAGAACTTTAACAACTAAGTGGTAGTAAAAAAAATCATTTTTCCGAAGAAATAATGCTATAGGAACAGGGAATCTCCTCTAATAGGAGATTTGAGTCACCATAATGAAACAAATTACATTTGCTAATGGGTACAGCTCTGCAGAAGAGTAACACTGAATAGAAAAGCAGTAAAAAAAAAAATCCAGATATGTTTTAATAATGATGAAGTCACATACTTATGAAATCATGAGGGGATTGAGTGCACCCTCAGTCAGTTTGCAGATGACACCAAGTTTGATCTGCTGGAGGACAGGAAGGCTCTACTGAGGGATCTGGACAGGTTGGATCGATGGGCCGAGACCAACTGTATGAGGTTGAACAAGGCTCAGGGCTGGGTCCTGCGCTTGGGTCACAACAACCCCATGCAACACTACAGGCTTGGGGACGAGTGGCTGGTGAGCTGCCTGGTGGGAAAGGACCTGGGGGTGTTGGTCGACAGCCGGATGAACATGAGCTGGCAGTGTGCCCAGGTGGCCAAGAAGGCCAACGGCATCCTGGCCTGTATCAGCAATAGTGTGGCCAGCAGGACCAGGGCAGTGATCGTCCCCCTGTACTGGGCACTGGTGAGGCCGCACCTCGAGTGCTGTGT